AGAGGATGGACAAATACTTCCAAGAGAGCCTAATAGTGGTGTACTCAATGGTCTTAGTCATTTGGGCAAATCAAAACAAAAGAGGAGCAAAAGATCAAGACATTGTAATTTTTGCTCATTTCAGACGCTGTTCGGTATTTTGACCATATCTCGGCCTAGGAATGTCCAAATAAAGTGATTCGTGCACCATTTCAAAATAAACTTAAATTGCTACAACTCTGTTGAAGACCACAAGTGCCAATAAAATGGTTTTAGGGGTAAAAAATAGCCTAGACGTCATGACAAGTGCACAGAATTGTGTTTTCAGGAGCCTGGTACTGCCTTGCGTACCCCCATCCCTTGGCCAAAATGACTTGTAAATTTTATTATGACCGTCCCTCATTGGTTGTCCACGGATTCCATTATCCAGAAGTACGAATCTCTTCTCCCTGATCCAGTGTTCTGTGGAAATGCACCAAAAATGGTACTGCCTTGCGTACCCCCATCCCTGAGGCAGTACCACTGTGCTCTGTTCACTATATAGGCGCAGTTTTAGTCATTTATACATGGTTTTGGACCTTGTTCCAACCCTAGACATTCTCTACTCATTTCCTTCATATTTTTAGGTTAGATTAGGCTTAGATTTATGTTTCTTAACACTTTTAAAGCTTGTAATCTTGGATTTGAAGCTTGGATTCCAACATTTCAAGACTCCACCATCCATTTTCAATAGAAAAGCTTTCTTTTGCTTATCTTTTTCTTTTGCAAGATTTATGTTTAATGCTTGTGTTTTTGTGTTATTTATGCTATTTATCATAAGTAGTTACTTTATGGATTTGAGTTAGGGTTGTATTTTCTATCTTGATGCTTGATTTATGATTATTGCAAAAAGGGGAAGAACTCTAACCTAGGGTTCTTGAGTTTATGAATGATTTGTGTTTTTATATTGTTAATGCTTGGTGTACAACATTCATTGGCATGTTTTGGAGGATTCTTTGCCTCGATGAGAGTTGGGTCAATATTCCAAGCCACTCCTTGCATAAACTCGATTTTTCCTATGAAAATGGGGGAAATTGGTGGTTTTAGATGCTTTGTGTTCTTGAAGAACTTGGAGTTGATTCACCACGAAAGTGGAGTAACTCCTTGTTCTAATCCTTGTCATTGCTCACGTGAGTGGCTTATAGACTAGGATTCCTACATGCATCCCCTCTATTCCTTGGTTGTGTGATTTTTCCCAATCATTAGGTTGTGCTATGCATCTAGAAGATAATGCTCCCTAGCTTGAGTCCTATTTCTTTATTTCGTGTTCACATCTTGTTAATGTGTGTTTGTGTTACTTTGTGTAGTTACCGTAGCCTCAATCTCGTTATGATTTGCTTAGCTTCTTGTTGATTTCCTTATGCTAGTGCCTATTTTCTTGTGATTGCATATTGCGTGCCATAACCCCCAATCCCCTGAGGAAGACATTACACACCCGTACACTCACAATCACTTATTTTTGCTACAATAAATATGCTAACGGGTTTATTTTTTTCCTATGTGTTTTTATAACCCCTTCCAGGTGGACCCAGTGCATGATGAGAGCGCACGTCAATAGAGTAGTGCGTAGCTCTAGTTTTAGTAGATGTTAGATCTGTACTCCCCTTTCCTTAGTAGTATTTTGTTGTTGGTTGTAGCTAGACTACCTTACTCTTGTTGGTGCGTAGACACCAGGGATTGCTTCCCCCTTTTTTTTGTCGTTTTGTTGAGCTTTGACTCTAGTACTTAGTAGTTTTGTTTAGCCTGTGTAGTTACTCGAGAGTGGGTAACTATGGCGGTGACATTCCCCTTAGTGTTTGAATTGGATTTTGTATCCTAGTTTATTTAATCTTACCTTGATTAATCCTATTTAGAATGTTTATTTTGGGGCTCTAGAGTTTAGAAAAAGGGGTGTTACAAGTCGGTATTAGAGCGGTACGAACCGCTAGGACATAAGAAAACTAAGCTTTGAGATTGGGTATAAGAACCCTAGGTTGAATCCTGTGGTGGTTAAAGTTAAAGAAATGAGCCCTAAGTTATAAGTTATAAGATGAGTATGATGGTCTTACTTGAGCCTAGGGAGTTTGACCATAAGCAAAGTGCTTAAGTATGAGATTTTCAGGCTAAGAAGTTCTTTTGAGGACATCAGTTATGTATAGGAACGCGGTGAGATTGTGAGTTTCATGCGCGTGCATAACATGATTATATGTTATCTAACTTTTTTAGCATTTAGTTTATTTTATTCTCAGAAGTTGAAAGTTATGTGATAAGTTTTGCTAAATTGACAAGTGTAAGAGCTATGCTTTATATTTGCTAAGTGAGTTTTGGTGGTTGTTGCACCCTGATGGGGTGCACCTTCTGGTAAGTTCCTCTTTGTTAGTTAAGTAGTTGCTTCGTTTAGCCTGGTTAAAGACCCGAGTAAGAAGAAAAAGTAGTTTGGATGTCTATTGTTGCGAAATAGTAAGGTAGTAGTGTATGTATCTAGACAACCGAAGAACTTGATGAAGAAGACTTTTCGACTTGCGGTTTAAAGTTGACAGTAGCAGCCTATGCGCGAAGGAATAGGCATCACCACTCACGTGATAATGTCTGCAAGGTCTAAGCTAAACCCAAAAGTTGAAGTGGATCCCACACAACTAAAGACAGATCTGAAGAAAAGAAAGCAATTGGAGTTTAAAGACTAAGGATTTAAGGGCTCTTGATTGTGAAAGAAAGACAAGAGTAGATGTTGATGCAACAAAAAGGAAACAAATTACGCCAAGTGGGTGCTTTTGGGATCAAGTGGGTGTTTTTCTTACTTGAGTATGTTCTTTCAACTCTTTTCCACTTCTCAATGTAATTGCACTTACATTTTCCTTTGGGTTCACAACAGTTTGTGATGGCAATTTACCTTGAGACTCCAATCTACTCACGGTAGATGCAAGCTGGCTCAATTAACTTTCTAAGTGTTGAATACTTGTTCGTGTTTCCTGCTGAAATTGTTGTGTGTTAGTAGCAAGTGACTTAACAATATCTTCCAATGACGTACCTGAATTAGAAGATGACTGTTGTGAGTATGAAGGTTGTTGTTGTGGAACATGCTGATATTGTTGAAACTGTGGGCGTGCTTTATAGCTAAAATTAGGATGATTCCTCCATCCTGGGTTGTATGTATTTGAGTAGGGATCATAATTTCTTTGTGGTTGTCCCGGAAATCCTCCAACTGCATTGACATCCTCACAAGAGTTGTATTGAAGCGTCGGGCACATGTCAGCTCACTAGTACAAAATTGAACATAGAAGATTGACCATAGGCCACCATTGTTGAAAGAATGGTTGCCTAATCTTAACCCAAAAATTCGCGGTGGCAATTTTGTAAATAAGTGATCAATAATTCACCACCATTGTTAGTTGTAATGGTTGCCCATTGTATTTTGTATTTATTTAAAAAAAAAAATTGATTTATAATAGACAACCATTCCTAATAGAAATGGTTGCCTTAAAATAGAACTTGTTTTACAATAGGCAACCATTTTGAATAGAAATGGTTGCCTAATATTAACCCTAGATCTATCCACCACTCCATCAGATATGATATGCTCATCCTCTCATACCCAACACCGTCTGCTCCGACCTGCAGATCTGCTCCGATCTTCAACACCGTTTGCCGATAGTCTGACGCCGCCGGCCACCCACCGCCGTCTGCTTCGTTCACCGCGACGCACCGCCACACGCCACAGCCACGGCCATCAAAATCGCATCTCAGATCTAAAATCTTCATCCGCCATCTGCTTCGATCGTCTCACCGCCACAACACCCACCGCCACCACGCCGTTGGCCTCATGACCTCCACCGTGACGACGATCTGCCGATGTGCACCACACCATGACAACCTCGACGCAGCCACCGCCTCCACCGCTGATCTGCCGACGCCACTGCTGCTACCACCGCCATAGCCGACGTCTCCGCCCACTAGAAATCCAAATTTTAATGTGGGTCGCGTGCTTCCAGGCTCTTGCAGATCCATATTTCTGAAACTTGGCCAAAGTTGAGAGAGAGCCTTCTGCACATACAGTTACAAAAATGGAATTTGAATTTGAACAGCCAAGGATAACAAAAGAGGATGTAAGAGATATAATCTACCGAGAGATTCTAGAATACCATCCAAAGATGTTGAAGGAGTACGTAGAGGGGGCAGAGCCAACAGGTTTCATGTACCCTAGGTATTCTTATAAAAACTTATTTGAGATGTTTACCTTTTCAACATCTTTCTGATGCATTTTTCCAGTTTTTCTTTACGTACCGAAAAAAATTAAGTGCATTATATATAGCAAATTGATAAGTTATGTATCCTCAACATCACACATCTTAATCATATGATGCTTCTAATAATTTTTTTTTCCCACTCCTGATTAACTACAGTGCGGTTGACAAATTTAAGAAACAATTTGCATATCTTGAGGAGCACTATGGAAAAGGTGGAGGAGTTGTTGCCCCACCTGAGAGACAACAAGCCTCATCACTGCCAAGGTAGATCGAGTGCTTTTGTTTACAATTCTCAGCTTTTGGAACTCCATTTTCACCGTTTTGGTCAATATAATGTTCATGCCCCTAAATAAAGATTTGGATGCAGGCCATCTGTCTTGTATTCCAAAAATTGTGGCCGGCATAATCCAGCAGACGTCACAAATGATTTCTCTAAATGTTCTATCAAAGAAGGTCGCAATTCGGGGATACCCATGACAAGAATTCCTCTAGAAGCTGTTCATGGTATATTATTATCTGCTTTACTTTCAATTGTTATAAAACAACCATATTCTAAAACTTCTTTCAATTGTTATAAATTCTTGTAAGGTGATTATATGCAATGCCACCGGTTGAGCTATCAAAGAATATAATGCTGTTCGATCTGTATATGCAATGCCACCGGTTGAGCTATCATATCAATTTTGAAATCTTATGCATGCATATATATGAGGGCCGCAGAACTGAAGTGTCAGCACGTTGATCTGATCTGATCTGCTTCACTCAATTCAAGAATTTCTTTCTACTATATATAATTGTAAGTTAGTTTCTTATTAGGTTTTAATTTCCATCTTATTCTTATCTATCTTCAATACCTTACTCCCTGATCAAGCTGTTATTGTGTTCAAATTAGTCTTCTTTCCTACTCTCAGAAGCCTTTTTCTGGTGTTGCTATTTTCTTGGATTATGAATGTTCCCCTTCATTCGATCTGCAAAAACCACACCAATGCTTCTCATGCATGCATGTGTCTTGGACTCTTGGATTCATTCTTAGCTTGGAATAGATCAGATCCAGGTTAGTAACACTATTATCACATCAAGGCTGGATGGGTTTCAAACTTTAATACTTGTGTCATTACCCTATTCTGTTTAGGCAATCTGATACGTGCTGAGGAAGTCTTATTTTATTATATTACATAGTTTAGATATTAATAAATTACTAAATAGTTATTTAGAAACTAATAAATAGTTATTTAGAAATTACTAAATACTCCGTAGTTATTTACCTTATTATTCTTAGTCTTCGAATTACTTTAGGTAGTTTAATTACTTAGAAGATTTCAGCAGATTACTTAGCTTATTTAGTCACTCTATGAGTTGTACTTTACCCTATAAAAAGGGGAACCAATTCTAATGAAAAGCAAGCAGAAGTTTAATCCAAAAAGGGTCTAAGGGAGTTTTGGGTCTCAAGCACACCCAGTGTTTTCTTCTTTTCCTTTCTTCTTCTTCATGTTTTCTTGCCCATGACGGGAGCACAAAACATTGGTTCCGTTGCCGGGAATCGAACCCGGGTCGCCTGGGTGAAAGCCAGATATCCTAACCGCTGTCCGACATTTCATTGGTTCCGTTGCCGGCGTCATGGGCGTCACTCGGTCTGAGTTTGAAGCTCTCAAAGCATCAGTGAATGAGTTGAAACTCTTAGCAAAAGAGCTATGCAGATGTCGCCTTGGAGAATTGGGTGAATTTCCCAATGACCTGAAGCAATGTATTACAAAATTCCTGAATGACCAAACACCAAAAATCAATAAGCCCACTTCCTTAGGTATTCAACAAACAGATGATGATGCTACTTCACTGGAATCATCCACAATCATTGTTGACCACCCACATGTGGAGACAGCGCCAATGCAGGCCAATGTTTCAGATGATCAGCCTCGTATCGATCCAACGGAGAAGATTGTTGATTCTACAAAAATTGAGGAGCTACAAGTGAAGTCTCAGGTGGAGGAAGCAATACCACATGATCCTGCTATTATTCAGTCACAATGTGTTGGTGATGCAGCAGGAAGCAGCTTTCATTATGCTCCACCATTCCCCATTCCACCGATGACTACCCCTCATTCAATGACATGTGATTTTCCAATGGCTTATCCAGCCCAAGCTCTTGTGCAGATCTCTTCAGTCACCCTTTCTAGTCTGATGCCTTTAAATTTCACACCTAATCTTGCTTCCCAACAATATCTAGTGTCAACTGTAGCTTTCCCGTTTGCAATTCTTTTGGTGAGGCCATTTGATCGTGGGAAGTGTTGGCTACGTGATGCACAAAGTTATCAAGCTTGCGGGCAAGCTTAATGTCCAGGAGGGGTGTAATGATACATGCTGAGGAAGTCTTATTTTATTATATTACATAGTTTAGATATTAATAAATTACTAAATAGTTATTTAGAAACTAATAAATAGTTATTTAGAAATTACTAAATACTCCGTAGTTATTTACCTTATTATTCTTAGTCTTCGAATTAATTTAGGTAGTTTAATTACTTAGAAGATTTCAGCAGATTACTTAGCTTATTTAGTCATTCTATGAGTTGTACTTTACCCTATAAAAAGGGGAACCAATTCTAATGAAAAGCAAGCAGAAGTTTAATCCAAAAAGGGTCTAAGGGAGTTTTGGGTCTCAAGCACACCCAGTGTTTTCTTCTTTTCCTTTCTTTTTCTTCATGTTTTCTTGCCCATGACGGGAGCACATAACACAATCAAACAATTGATATAATGGCAGTCAGTAGTGATGAAGAAGTAGAAAACGAAGCTTACTTGTTAATTAGATGCTAGGAGTAAAGATTGACAAAAAATCATTTTTTGGGTAGGGTATACAGAGATATGCCTTTACTAGTTAAAGTTTTGCAATGTGATGCATTTGCAGACAGAGTGTAAGCTAGCGAGCTGAGTGATCTTCATTACTTATCTTTGGGTAAGCTAGGTAATATATATGTGTGTTTTACTTTTACTAGTTACAACCAAAAAGGCGTTTTTCTTTAATGATGAGGATTTGATATCATGATGCATGTATTGTTCGATGGGAGAAGCATTCTTTTTTATGTCAACAATTATGGCATGGGGAGATGCATCAATCTCCCCTCTCCAAACTTGGTATATATATATATATATATATATATATATATATACTCTCATATTTTCTTGATGTGTATGAGGGTTTCCTTTTCTTGCTGAAAAACACAAGTCTTTTTTTTCTTTTCCTTTTTTACACTGTAGGCTTTTCTTGACTTGTTCATTCTATTTCAGTGAACGACCAACTGCAAATTTGATGATCCTTCCTTAATTAGTTAATCTAAACATATAGTAGTTTGGTTTTAAATTCTATTTTGTCGTCTGCATCTATTTTTCGAATTCTAGGACTTGGATTTCTTGTGCTACCCTGTAACTTTGGATTATGCATGCCCTCCTGGTTCACTTAAAGCCAAATTTCAAATATATGCCCTTCTGCAATTTCATTGTTTATATTGCAATACATCTATCTTGAACTATGTAATGGCCTAATAGGTGAATTTCAATAATTCACATTTTTATTCTGTTTTTGATATGTGATCCTACCAGGAATTCAGTTATGGAGATCAGACAACACCAGGCAGTCCAGATGAGATGATATGTTTCTCAAGGATTTATATTAAACCCCTGCTTAACACCTTATGCCAAAACAAAGTCCAAGGTAATCTTTTTTCATAATCCACATTCTCACTAGAGTCTAGAGTAAGCAATTCTTTGAATTGAAACAATGTTGGAGTAAATATGTACGTTTGTCCTATTGTGCATATACTCCCACAAATTAAAAATTTATTAAAGCCTTAAAGTATCGTTTTTGGTGCACTCTTTATAATAAGTTATTGTAAACTTTTTAAGTCTTCTAGGCTCTGTCGTTCAGCATTTTATGTCAGATTGGAGTCCCCTCCAATATCCAGATTGAACGTTATCCAGCGTTTTTTGTGTAAGTTCCATTAACTGGATGATAATTGATCCAGGCATCCAGCAGACATCTCTTTGTAGAACCTGGTTCAATTTGTTGAGGTGTCTCATGACTCTCATCACTTGTAACCTTTAGAGGTGGTGCCACACCTGGACTGCTGACTGACAAGGACCTCAAAAGGATTAAGCAGGAGATGGTGAGTGAACTTAGTTCCTAATTACTTTCTATTTTTGACTTTGTTAATTGACAAATGTGGTAGATGAGTACATGTAAGAAAAATTTCTTGGGCTATGGTTTCTACATGTAAGAAGAATTTATATGAATTAGTTGAGCTCTGAATAAACAGCTAAAATCATCATCTGCACCTTTTATCTTTGATAAAATCAAATTATGAGTCATATGTGTTAAGCATTTGTCTCTATCTCCCTGAGTCATATCTGAATTTGGAATGAACAGACCCTAACAGGAAGGAGCTGCTAAGATGGGGGAACCGATTGAACATTGTAGAAGGAATTGCTCAGGGGTTACTCTATCTACACAAATATTTGAGGTTGACGGTTATCCATAGAGATTTAAAAAGCGGCAACATCTTATTGGGTGAGTAAGAAACTGTCGAACCAGTTCTTTCATTATTTTAATGCTATGTGCTTGTATATTATGGTTTTGACTTGTGAATGTTGGCTGTAGGTAAGTAGGAAGATAGACTTGGTTTATGGTGGTGGAAGTATAAGTTTGATGGGTTTGATTTCCAAAAGAGTCTATGATAGAGGATGTCATGTTCTTGGGTAACTATCTATCTAACACCTTTTTGGAATTTTTACTCTTTTGATTGTGCAGTGTTGGTAGCTATCTATCTCTGATTTATTCTAGAATTGTCATCATTGCAGTTTTTGTGGTTTATTGGCATTCAATTTTTTTTGAAAAGTGAATGAAGATCATTTTGAGGTTGCAGGTAAATTGAACTAATCCTTTTGAAATCTATAATTCTCAACATACTTTATTTGAAAACTTGTAGCTGCAAACTATAAGAGTGACATAGGGAGTTTGGGCATGGTGATCCTTGAGTGTGCCATTGGACGTTTCCCTTACATACAGTCCAAAAACCATCAAAAATGATTCAAGTGTTTTGGCATAGGAATATTCATTAAAATGAGTCTATTTTATTCCAAAGAATTTAGAAACCTATTTTTATCCTAACTCGATCCAACTTTTGACCCAAAATTGTAACCCGAGATTTTAATCGCGAAGTGATCAAATTGGCCCTCACTAAGCCAAAATTCACACATGCCCTTCCCTAAGGTTTGGTGCCCTACAATTTAAACACCCTTAGAGCAGATATGCTATTCATTCTCTTTTCACTTCAGTAGCCAACATCTTCAAGACTCTCTCTCTCGTGTATCTCCCCTCCATCATCATCTTCTTCATTCCTTCAACAGAGATTAAGCTAGCCTAGAGATCCCAATATTTAAGTAAGTTTTTCCTCTTCTCTTCTTTTCTTCTCCTCCATTCTTCCTTCATTATATTTTCCTAAGATGTGAATATATGTTTGTTTGTGTTTTTGTGGTGGCATGCTTGAGAAATGGAGATGGTGGAAGAAGATAAAGCTTAGGGGATGAGCTTAGGATGGATTTGGCTAGATCAAGGTATAAACCATGGATTCCCAAATCTATTATTTTATCTCTATGTTGTTAGATTTCTTGAGATTTGATGCTTAGAAATGATTGAGAGTGCATAATAATATGTTTATTGTGTGTTGATGATGTGGCCACAAGCCTAGCCTTGTGCCTTTGAATGTCCTCATCAGCTCTTAACTTAGTTTTGTATACCCATTTGCAGCCTATGGGTTCTTTGTTGGGTGGGAGATCAGTGAGCACCCAAGTATTGTTATCTTGCAAAGAAGTGATTTCAGCTTCCATGGCCTTTTTCCAACATTTTGCTTTGATGGCCTCATTGTAAGACCTTGGTTCTTTTGCCTGCACAACATTAGTGACAAAAGCTTTATATCATTGTGATAGATTGGCATAAGATAAGTCCTTGGAGATATCATGATGGTAGGTTCTGTTGACAGCCACATTTTGACATGTGTAGCCACTTAGATAGGCTGGTGTAGCCTTTACCCTGGTTGATATCCTTGGTTGGGGTACAGATGGTGGATCTGTATCTCTGGACTCATCAATCTGATTTGGCCTTCCTGGTTGAACCCCAGGTGAGTTCTGGTTGGCAGTATTTGGTTGCTGACATATAGAGTCTTCAGGTGAGAACTCTTTAGTATCTAGGTGAAGTGTCCTTTCAGAAGGCAAGACCAATTCAGCAGGCTGGATATCTTTTGAATTTTGATAGGGGAATGTGTTCTTATAAAAATGGACATCTCTGGATAGAAAAATCTCATTTGTTTGTATATCAAATAACTTGTACCCTTTTACCCCATTTGCAAAGCCCAAAAAATGCACTTCCTAGCTCTTGGTGCAAATTTGCTTCTCTGACAGCTAGGAATAAGAGCAAAGGTTAGACAACCAAAAACTCTAAGATGTTGGTATTGTGGCACTTTGTTTAATAACAGTTGATATGGGATTTTGTTGTCTATGGCTGCTGAAGGAAGCCTATGGATTATGTACACTGCATGGAGTATGCAATCTCTACTGACAAGATATGACCATGTTTCCTCTCAACAACACTGTTTTGTTGAGGGGTATATACACATGATCTCTGGTGGAGAATGCCTTTATGTTGGTAAAACTCTTCCATAATGAATTCTCTTCTATTGTCAGATCTTGCACATTTGATATGCTTCCCAAATTGTGTGTTAATCAACTCACAAAAAGACTGCATAATCTGCTTAACCTCACCTTTTCTTCTTAAGAGATAAACCCAAGTGGCCCTACAATGATCATCTACTAATGTTAGAAAATATTGATGGCCATAGACAGTAGGGATGTGATATGGCCCCCAAATATCAGCATGTATAAGATCAAAACAATCATTTGAAGCAGAATAACTATGCTGAAAAGGTAATCTTCTTTGTTTTGCAAAATGACAACAATCACAAGTAGTAGGTTTGTCATTACAAATTTTATTGTCTATAGTATGAAGGAACCTAATTTTCCATTCAGAAGCATGTCCCAATCTGGCATGCCAAGAACTGCATACATTGGCAGCAACTTTACAGTGCATAAAAGCAGGAAAAGTAAGCTGGTTGAGACCTTTCCTGAGCTCAGCCATTCCAATCATCCTCCCATGATGTTGATCCTGTATAATGCATTGATTAGATTGGAATAATATGCTGCAATGTGATCCTTTTATCAATTCACCCAAGGATATCATATTGTAGTGAAAAATGGGAACACATAACACATTCTGTAAGATTAGCTCAACAGACAGTTGGACACTCCCAATGTGGGATACTTGGGCATTATGTCCATTAGGTAGATCAACATATATGCCCTGAACTGTTCTTGAATTTTGTAAAAGATGCATTCTACAGACAATATGATGAGTAACTCCATTATCAAGAATCCATAGAGTCTCAGTATTTGTCAATTTATGACTAGAAGTGGCAGATTTACCTTCTAGTGAGTTGTTTGCAATGAAATTGGGTGCTATGGCATTGACATGATGGGAAATACTGAGAGGAAAACTGCTGGCCTTTTCAAGTTGCATGAACTCCAAGAATCTCCTATAGTCCTCTTGATCAATTGGAGGATTGCCCTCAAAATTTCCAGCTTCTTGCAAGGATGATGTCTGAACCTGATTTGGTGACCCCATCCCTTTACTTCTTGGCTTCCAACCGGGGGGGTAGCCATGCTTTTTATAGCGCTTTTCAATAGTATGACCTGTATATCCACCGAAGTTACATCCAGGTTTTTGTTTCTAGGTGGGAAAAGACTTTTTATTGCCATCAGTCTTGGTGAAAAAAGCAGTTGCACCTGTTATACTATCCCCCAGAGAGTTTGAACCAATAGTGACTTGCCTTTCTTGTTGTGAAACCATAGAAAAGGTGTTACACACTGAAATTTAGTACGCAACTGAAGAAACCTTTCGAGCAGGCTTCTAACTCCAATCTGTATTCGAGTTACGGTAACTCCAAAAGTAAAATAATATAACAAAAGAAAATTAAGAACTCTTCAATATAAAAGACTAGAATAACAATATATTTCTCTCCTTCTTCCATCTTCATATACAATGGTCTATTTATACTAATTTACTAATACATATAATAATTAACCTACTAAAATTATACTAACTATACAAGGTAATGATATATTGTGATTTACATAATTTCCCTATACTAATTTAGGCACAATATTAACTCACACACTAATTGAGTTGTACGATCCTAATTATCATACTAATTCTAGAAATATAATTAATTCTTCCTAATTAAGCTCCATAATTACAATGAATGGCGTATCACTCTCCACCCCTTCAAAAAACACCTTGTCCTCAAGGTGTATGTATGGAAATGAGCATATTCATGCCTTGATGATACTGTTTGATTGATTTGCCAAACATGAACATCATAGACTACATGTTCACTGGATTGCCCTGTAACAGAATTCCTGCTTGTTGGTGTTATGACTTGGACCAATTTGGGAATCATTTCTACTGCAACGTGGATGAGACTTTCCTCCAAAGACACTATTGATGTGAAAATTGATTCTTGAAACAATTGGGGGGATTTGATATACCCGATTGTAGTTGTTGCTTTAGCTTGAATTGGTGCTTCAATTTGAGTTGAATCCCTGCTATTTGATGCATGATCTACCTCCTCATGAGTAAAATTCTTAATTTCTTCCTCATTGAATTGATTAGTATAGTCCTCACCAGCAATTGCACTAGAACTCATATCAACCACATTATCACCAAACTCTTTTTCGATCATTAATTCCGCATCAATTTCCACCTGATGAGTGGGAGGTTGATGATGATCTACTTCCACACAGGTAGCCAATATTAAATTTGCATCAGGAAATTCTATATTCATAGTGCAATACCCTTCATAAATGTTGTGGCCATGGAATGCTTGTTTGGCAACGATTGAATCCACAATGGAATCAAACAATACCAAAGCTTGGAATAAGGTGTGATCCTCATCCTTTAAAATATGAATATATTGTATGGATCCTTTCGTAGAAAAGATCTCATACAATACAACATCATCGATAGGATACCATACTTGGTGTACAGAAACTAGTAAGCACCGGTGAGTAATATTTTTCATAAAAAATAATTCCTTTTTTTGTATTTTTTTATTTTCCCTCGTTTTTTTTTTTTACTTTTTTCCTTTATGTCGTTTGTTTGTTTTTTTTTTTCAAATTTTTTTCTCTTTTTTTTTTTAAAAAAAAATTCCAAGGGATGCAAGAAAACAAAAAAATAATAATAAATAAATAAAAGATAGGAGATACTCTCACCAATGGGCTCAATGAAAGCACCAATGTTACGCACTGAAATTTAGTACGCAACTGAAGAAACCTTTCGAGCAGGCTTCTAACTCCAATCCGTATTCGAGTTACGGTAACTCCAAAAGTAAAACAATATAACAAAAGAAAATGAAGAACTCTTCAATATAAAAGACTAGAATAACAATACATTTCTCTCCTTCTTCCATCTACATATACAATGGTCTATTTATACTAATTTACTAATACATATAATAATTAACCTACTAAAATTATACTAACTATACAAGGTAATGATATATTGTGATTTACATAATTTCCCTATACTAACTTAGGCACAATATTAACTCACACACTAATTAAGTTGTATCATCCTAATTATCATACTAATTCTAGAAATATAAGTAATTCTTCGTAATTAAGCTCCATAATTACAATGAATGGCGTATCAGAAGGCTTTTCCAACATCAGGGAGTGGCCTCATCAACATGATCTGGTGTTTGGTATTAGTGTAGTTCTCATTGAGGCCAATGAGAAAGGCTGACAACATATCATTCTCTAGGTGATTTCTAACCTTCTTAGACAAGTCACTTCCACATTTACAACTTTGTGAACATTCACAAGCAGGAACAGGCCTTAATACAAGTAATTCATCCGATAAAAGCTTTAATTGAGTGAAGTATTCATTTACCGTAGATGTGCCTTGTCTTGTCTGATAAATTTCTGCTTGAATTTCAGAGATACGGAACACATCCTGCTGGCTGAAACGTTTTCTCATATCATTCCATACGCCTTCAGCTGTGTTGATCCATAATACGCTTCTACCAACAGTAGGTGAGAGGGCTCTGAGGATCCATAATAGGATCATAGTGTTGCATTGATCCCAAAAAATATACTTAGGATCAGATCTGCTAGGGATCACCATCGTCCCGTCCACTAGAACCATTTTGTTTTTGGATCTGAGCGCCATTTCCATGGCTCTTGCCCATGGGTGGTAGTTTGATCTTCCTTCCAACTGGACAGTCACTAATTGCAGCGATGGACTCTCATTTGGATGAAGGTAAAGAGGATCAGTTCGATCCTTAGGATCAAAGCCAACAGCTACTGGAACTGGAACCGGAGTAGGTGCCGGAATTGAAGTCGGAATCGCATTCGAAGTTCCAGCCTGATTGTTGCCTTGAAAAGTTGGATTTGTAGCCATTGATGGACGAATTGTGTTTATAGAGGGTGTACGCCAAGCCATAGTGGCTCTGATACCATATTGGGAAACTGAGAGGAGAGTTTCCAAAGGAACGAAGAGAGAAAAGAAAACTGTATATTTCTGTATCAACTGGTTTACACACATACAAAGCTATATATGCTAACTGGAAAGAAGCGGGAAGAAGGAAGCTATAAAGCTAAGCTAACATAAATCAGTTACAAGAGGTAGTTGTATGGATATTTATAGAGGAGGCTGTTGACTTGACTTGTGTATCTGTTGACAACGCCTATATAAAGTTGTTGTAGAGCAGCAGAATTTTATAACTTAATCACCTACGGTTTCAGCTCTCAAAATCTCTGCTTCTACTCCTTTCTTGCCTCCTGTTGTTCTTGCTTTGCTCTAGTTCGTCGGGTTCTTTTTTTTGGTTGCTCAAACATTGAACCACAGTACGTTTTATCCTGAAAATTAAAAACCTAGGATACAATGCTCATAGAACTTTTGGGAGGTAACAAATAAGGTTTTAAGAAAAAGTGATTCGTTCGACTTGTATTAACCCCTTCCCACGAAATCCTATCATCCTCCTCAGAAATTCCCAAAAAATAATAATAATTTTTCGTACGATTATTATTGGTTTTCTCAACCATTATTTGCAACAATGCATATCATAGCATAGTATAATACTTGTTGTAGGTTGCTGTGGTTATTTTGTTGGAATAAAGAAATTTACGCAGTGTGTTGCACCATGTACCATTATGGTGAGCTGAAATGGTTTCTGCTTCTCGGAACTTTTTTTTTTTTTAACTATAAATCAAATGAAGTTGTATGTTTGGAAATATTTTTTAAAAATAGTATTTTTATTTTTAAAATTCAGCCAAACACTAACAAATGAAAATATTTTTCAAAAAATTAATTATTATTTTCTAAAAATTATTTTTCCTATTTCCAAACTCAGCCTAATTCACTTGTATTCATGAACTTGATCCACAATTCCTACTTAATTTTTTTAAAGCAAATTTTTGAAACATTAACCTGATTAGCTTTTTCTATTTTGGATCAAGCTGGAGCTGGCTTCAATGCACATAAAATAGAGAGGGCAAAAAAGAAGAAGACATATTTGAGTTGTAAGATTCCCACTTAATATTAAACAATTTCGTCTCTTGTTGTCATTATCTTCCTCTAATATTTAGTTTCATATTTCTGGCAATTAGAGTTACAAGTTGTAGAAAGCCACATAAATTTTAATATGAAGTACGTACTAAATTAAAAGTCAATATAATGCTGTCATTTTGCAATTAAAAATATAATGCTTCGGCCTTGTGTTGCCTTAACATGAGGAGCTGAGAGATGGAAATTGAATTATATTAATTAGCCACTACCCTCTGATCTGCTGCCAGAAGGAAATTGCCCCAACAATGCTTTTTTTTCTTTTTGGTAATGAAACAAAATTATGTATTAAGTTAATCAATGTCAACTATGCATATGATGGGCATAATATATATAATAATGAGGTATTATATTTTAGCCTCACTGTACTTGTTCCAAATCATACATACAAAATTTGATCCCTCTTCTTATATTATTAAATTGCACCTATGACCTATGACCTACCTGAATTCTCAACATACATGGGCATTTGATACCAACAGATATGTTAGCCGTCCAACAACAAAATCCTTAGCAACAATAAGCAAGGAGGAAGAAGAAGAAGTGCCACCACCATCATCCTCAGCCGCCGCCATATGTGGAGATAAAAGCTTAGCTTAGCTATCTGGTTGTGGTGATAGGGTGAAGACAGACTACTGGGATTTCTTAATGCTGCTTTAATTTAGGTATTCTTCTTCTTCTTCTTCCTCTACTTATTTAATTATATGAAGAACTACAAACTTCAATTAGCAAACAATCATACTCTTATGGCAATTCAATTCTAATTGGAACAATTTATCAAACACATAACCCACAAAGTTGATCTTCTTCCAATCCCCTTTTTTCAAAGTGAGATCGAAATTGTGAGTATGTAGTATGTCTAATTGTGTGTCCTATTCTTATAGCTACACACAATTCCAAATATTCTCAATCATAATTGAACTCTAAATGATACAAGAGATAAAATTATAGCTAATTCAATACATACTTTTTTTATGCAATTGAAATCATAGAAGCATCTATAATAAGAGCAAGTTTAATCCAAATCTCAGAGAAAATATTAATCCAAATCTCAGAGAAAATATTAACGGAATAAAAAATGACTAATTTCTAACGTTGAATTAAACACTAAGAAATGTAAATATTCTTTTTAAAAATTAATTTTTTTTAAGCATTATTTTCCTATTTCCAAGCTCACCCTTATTCACTTGTATATTCATGAACATGATCTACAAATCCTGCAATCCCTACTTAATTTATATTAAAGCCAATTTTTGAAACATTAACCTAATTTTGGATCTAGCTGGAGGTACCGTCGATAAACACAAAACAGCGAAAAAAAAACAGATAGATTTGAGCTGTAAAATTCTCACTTAACATTACAGAATTTCTTCTCATGTTGTCATTATTGTCCTCTAATATTTAATTTCATATTACACGCAATTAGTGTTTCAAGTTGTAGAAAGCCACATAAATTTTATTATAAAGTGCTAACCGTCAATATAATGCTGCCATTTTGCAATTAAAAATATAATGCTTTGGTCTTGCAATTATTTCACTTAGAGCCATTATGCAATTGCCAATTGAAAGACTTTTGGACTGGTTCTTTGAAGTATAATACTATTTTAATTTCAATTTCTATTTATTATAAAACACAAAGACTCATCCTACTTAAACTCATTACTATAATTAAATAGGGAAAATCAATAATTTGGTCCTTCAATTGTTTGCAAACTGCCAATGTAGTCCCTCAATTCCATATTACTTAATTTGGTCCTTGAAATTAATTATTTTTGGTCAAAAAAGTCCTTTCGGTCGTGATCTGTCGTTCAGCCGGTGAGGACTCCTATTTAGCATGGACATTTTGGTCTTTTCATTTGTTCAGCCCTCTTCTTACCAAGCCATTGACTCCAAAGTGTCGCCATTGACTTCATCTTTCCTGAGAAAGCGTAGCCAAACTGTGGAGTCCCAAATCGACAAAAATTCCTATCGCTGTGGAGTCCAAATTCGGCAAAAATTGAAGGCTGATGGATTTAATTCACCCGGGGGGTCCCGAATTATTAAACCCGGATAAGAATGTGTACGAAATAAATGATATAACGCAGAGATGTCGTAAGGTCGCAGGGACCGTATATTGTATTAATTATCACTAATAAGCTATTACAAGACTTGATTAGGACAATAATGCTAGAAGATAGTAATTCAAGAATATGTTGTGTCCCTGTGTTAGGACAAGATGAAGGCTTTTTATATCAGCTCAAACCCCCAACCGCACCCCTAAAACCGGGGGTGGTTAGATCGGCCCGCTTTGACCGCGTCCCCTTCGGGACCGGGTCCAAAGCGGGTCGACTCGGCATGGCCGAGCTGGGCACGTGCCGAGCTTGGCCTAGCCGAGTCCACCATGGACCGGCTCGGCAGTGGCCGAGTCCATGGTGACGAGCTCGGGTGTACCGAGCTCGTCCGTGGCCGGGCTCGGCCCACGGCCGAAATGCTTTGGGCCGACTCGGCCACGGCCCAAGGGACTGGGCCGAGACGTCTCGGGTCTGTCTCTCCGGGTCGGTTCGTTCCGGGTCCAATATATCCATCACGAGTCCCCCACTCTCTTCGTTGTGATAAGTCGACAACGATAAAGAGTAGACACATTGCGAGCCGACTCCCACGCGATTGACCCGAGTTGATAATTAGCCGACCTTCTGTGACCGAGCTCACCATGACTGAGGCACCTTGGGCCGAGCACGGGGCCCAACCACTATGCCCCGGGTCTATTTCATACTTCCTTGTTCCGCTTTCCCGGGTCGGTTTGCTCCAATCATAATATATCCATCATGAGCGAGACTTCTTCTCTTCCGCAAGAACACTAACAAGTCTTGGACTCCCTGGCATCGTGTATGAGACTTTGATTTCTGAGTTCACTTTTGGGCGAGCTCATGAGGTAGTCGTCCTCCTCTTGGGTGAGCTCATGTGGTAGCCCCTCTTGGGCCGAGGTGCCTTGTGTCGAGGCGTCTTGGGCCGAGGTTCGTTAATGAAGGAAAGTAAACACGAGTCGCACTCCATGGGTCCGAGGCCCACACGGCCGACCCCAACATGGCCGACCCCAACGTGGCCGATCCCAACGTGGCCGACCCCAACCTCAAGGATTAGACTTGATAGTGGCTTGATTAACGTCATCCCTTCTTTATCATATGGGTTCCGTCTTCCGCTCCACCACTTTGTACTTTTCCTAACGTGCCTTTCCCCCCGGAGGTAGACACATTTGTGTCTCTCCTCCGGGAGGTGGGCACATTTTATGTCTCCCCTCCGCGAGGTGGGCACATTTTATGACTCCCCTCTGGGAGGTGGGCATTTTTTATGTCTCCCCTCCGGGAGGTAGGCATATCTTATGGCCCCCTCTGGAAGGTGTGTCTTTTTGTACCTTGCTTCGATAAACATGCTTCCCCTCCCGGAGGTGGGCACATTTTATGTCTCCCCTCCGGGAGGTACTTCCTTTTGTCTTTGTTTCGTTAAACATGTTCCCCCTCCCGGAGGTGGGCACGTTTTATGTTTCCCCTCTAGGAGGTGGGCACATTGTGTTGACTTGGCGTTTTGAATGGACAATCAGCTCTCCCTTATTGATTCATTTTTTTAGCACACTGCCTTATGTTAACCGCTTGAGCCTAGCCCCCCTGAACTAAGCCGCCGGGCACCTCCGCCGAGGTTGGTACGCGAGGTTGGACCTCGTGCCCCCTTAGGGTACGTTAGCCGCTTGAGCCTAGTCCTACTGGACTAAACCACCGGGCTCTTCCGTCGGGGTTGGTACGCGAGGTCGGACCTCGTGCCCCTTAGGGTGCATTAGCCGCATGAGCTAGTCCTGCCGGACTAAGTCATCGGACTCTCCTGTCAGGGTTGGTACGCGAGGTCGGACCTCGTGCCCCCTAAGGGTGCGCAAGCCGCTTGGGCCGAGTCCTGCCGGACTAAGCCACCTAACTCTTCCGTCGGGGTTGGTACGCGAGGTCGGACCTCGTGCCCCCTTAGGGTACGCTACCCGCATGAGCCAAGTCCTGCAGACTAAGCCATCGGACTCTCCCGTCGGGGTTGGTACGCGAGGTCGGACCTCGTGCCCCCTTAGGGTGCGCAAGCCGCTTGGGTCGAGTCCTGCCGGACTAAGCTACCGAGCTCTTCCGTCGGGGTTGGTACGCGAGGTTGGACCTCGTGCCCCCTTAGGGTACGCTACCCACATGCGCCAAGTCCTGCCGGACTAAGCCATCAGGCTCTCCCGTCGGGGTTGGTACGCGAGGTCGGACCTCGTGCCCCCTTAGGGTACGCTTGGGGAGGTCGGATGAGTACTCGATTCTTACAACACCGTTGGAGGGGACGTTCCACCTCTTAAAACGTTGTAGGATGCATGAGACGTCCCACCTCTTGGAAGATCATTGGAGAGGATGGATCACCTCTTGCCACATCTTTGGAGGGGACGCTCCACCTCTTAAAACATCGTTGGAGGAGACATTCCCCCTCTTGAAACATCATTGGAGAGGACGGACGACCTCTTGAAACATCATTAGAGAGGATAGATCACCTCTTGCAACATCTTTGGGGGGAATGCTCCACCTCTTAAAACATCATTACAGGGGACGGACCCCCCGGTGGACCGGGCAGGTCCCTTTGTTGGCTTCCTCTATGACTGACAGCTAATGTAGCAAGGTGTCATTGGAAGACTTCTTGTAGTGTATATCACGGGGGACTATGTAGGTTCTCCCCACCGGCTTGGCTTCGACCTTGCACTACTACAGAAAACGGTTTTAACGTCGGTTAAAATACCCCATTTAACGTCGATTATCTTTCGACGTCGACTTTAGAGACGTCGTAAGTAAATGATACGACGTCGGTTAAACAACCGACGTCGTATGTAACATACGGCGTCGGGGACATGATTCCTCCGCTTGTAGCGCGTTAGGGGTTGGCCTTGGGCCCAACCTATCTCGGGCCGACACGCGCATGCCCAGCCTCTTAAAGGCAGGCCTAACATGGGTCGACCTCCCTCTATCACCCTCTCGATGGTGATTTTGGCGGATGTCAGCCCCTCCCCGCGTGTCCAATGGTTGGGGTGAGTGGACATCCTCTTCGATTTGAGTGTTGAGTGCCCGGGGTAGCCGGGTGCTTGTACCGGTGCGCCCCTTGAGGGAGGTGGAGGCGAGGTTGGCATCCTTTGTGTGGCCTCCAGATCGTCGTGCGCACCTCCTTGGGGACCCTCTGTGAGGTGAGCCAAAGTCGTAGAGGATTGCTAAAGAGTAACCGCCCCCTCCTGTAGCGAGGCGAGATTTGGAGGAGGGGCGATGGAAGCTGGCACCCCATCGCTGCGATGGTTGGTGAGGTGATCTCTCAAGTCCCCGACCTAGTGGAGGCAGCCTGTTGGAGGCAGGGGGCTCCGTTGGGGCCGTTCTCGGTTGCGGCGAGCTGGGTGCCACGGAAACCGTTGGTGTGGTCGAGAGTTGGATCTCGACCTTATCATGGTAGCTGGTCGCGGTGGACTACTAAATATAGAACACGCTTGAGCTGGTACATCAGCTCTCAACAAGAGCACCAATGATGGATTTAATTCACCTGGGGGGGGGGGGGCCGAATTATTAAACCCGGATAAGAATGTGTACGAAATAAATGATATAACGCAGAGATGTCGTAAGGTCACAGGGACCGTATATTGTATTAATTATCACTAATAAGCTATTACAATACTTGATTAGGACAATAATGCTAGAAGATAGTAGTTCAAGAATAAGTTGTGTCCCTGTTTAGGACAACATGTAGGCTTTTTATATAAGCTCAAACCCCAATCGCACCCCTAAAACCGAGGGTACGGTGGTTAGATCGGCCCGCTTTGACCGCGTCCCCTTCGGGGCCGGGTCCAAAGCGGGTCGACTCGGCATGGCCGAGCTGGGCACGTGCCGAGCTTGGCCTAGCCGAGTCCACCATGGACCAGCTCGGCAGTGGCCGAGTCCATGGTGACGAGCTCGGGTACCGAGCACGTCCGTGGCCGGGCTCGGCCCACGGCCGAGATGCTTTGGGCAGACTCGGCCACGGCCCAAGGGACTGGGCCGAGACGTCTCAGGTCCGTCTCTCCGGGTCGGTTCGTTCCGGGTCCAATATATCCATCAAAGGCATTGAAGAATCCAAGGAGCAACACCATGACAAGTCGGAGTTGACTCGAGTGGAGGTCAAGCTACTACGACTTACGAGCTACTTCATCAGACATGCAATGGAGGTCATGTTGAGTGTTAACGTTGCTCTCATTTCTATCATTCTCACGTTTCCTTGGCTCTTTTGCCGCTACCGGCCCTACTTTGAGCATTGGAATATGCAAAGTTTTGTTATCCGTGGATGTAGTGTTATATTGGATTCCTCTAATGCATCTGCAATTTGGAAAATGCCACTCTTAAAGAATTTTTATGTTGACGGATTTCATTTTACATTAGAGACTTCGGAGGTTGTTCATAGAAACATAGAGACTATATCTTGGTTGCGTCCGTGGTGTTGTAGATATGATCTTTTTACAAGGATTCCAAATTTAAAAAGAATAGGGATTCAAGGTCAAATGTATTTTGAAAATGAAAATTCAGATGGTTTCTATAATTTTGTGCACTTGGAGCAGCTTGAGAAACTAAGCATCAAAAGGTGGGATCTCAAACTTCAGTATAGTGGTATCCCATGGAAAACTAGTTTTCTACCCAATCTTAAGAAGCTCAAATTCTTTGAGACTAGGTTACCATGGAGTGATATGAGGCTTATTGGTATGTTGCCGAATCTAAAAGATCTAAAATTGATACATGCTTGTGAAGGCAGAGAGTGGAAGCCATGTTTGGGAGGGTTCTGTCAATTGAAAAGGTTGGTAATTAAAAGTTGGACTTGGAAATATTGGAATGCTGTGGGTGATCATTTCCCTGTGCTTCAACATTTAGAGTTAAGTTGCAGTTCTTTGCGAGAGATCCCTATTGCGTTTGCCAATATTACCACACTTGAATTGATTCAATTAAAATACTGCTGGGATTTCGTTTTGACTTCTGTGAAGCTTATTCAAGATGAGCAGCGAAGCTATGGAAATGAAGCCCTCCTTGTTCGTTCTAAATATATTCGGGTCTCTTTCTAACCCTCCATTATATCTCTGTTTCATAGTTCATGCTATTTAAATTCTTTGCCCAGGGTAGCAATTCCTGCAATAAATAATTATGTGCATGCTTTATCTCATTGTTCTGTATCTCATTTTTTTTTTGTACCTATATAAATGCGTTAATAACTTAATTTATTGTTTCCAGCATCTATGACGATAGTACACTTCTCAAATTAAAGGAAGGATGTGACGAGGGTAGGTACTTAAATAAGTCTGTTATATGTATTTCCGTACACCTATATATATATATATATATATATATATATATATATATATATATATATATATGTTTATTTTGTTTTGTTTCTTCTCAAAGAAAAATCATGCTTAGTTGTTTTCATTTTTTAGCTATTTCAGTATTGTTTATATGCTTTTATTCTTAATCTTTCATCAGGCATTTGCATTTCGTTTCTCCTTAACATCTACTCCGTAATTCTTAAACACAGACAACTACAAAGATTGTGTGGCGATGAATTGAAAAGTTAGGAGGCACAAAGCTAAGCAGAGATGATGATGATGGAATAAGGATGTTATGTAGGTGTTGTTGAGTGATGATGGATATGATGTTGTGGTAGCATAGCAGGAGATGTAATATATGAATGGAAAATTTTATATGTAGTCCCATTTTCTATTCCAATCTTTTACTCTCAAGGATGGATGTGCGTGAATAGGAGGAAGACAGTGAGTAATATGCTGAATAAATAATTTCACCAGGACTATGTGGTCTAATGGTACCCGGGTTGAACTTCTATTTGGAAGGTTGTAAATCCAAGCCTTAATGGGGGCGTTATTAGCTCTTTGTGTTTCAGTAGATTCAAAAAAAAAAGATTTGGGGGCGTAATCAAAAAAAAAGATTTCACCATTCTGTTTCTCTTTAACATCTTATTCGATATCATCTTAAACACAGATAAATGAGGTGCTTCTGTAGCTGTTTTGGTGATCTGAAATGTTTTGTTTTTTTGGGTTGAAGTTGCTGATTGGAGCTTTGGCTTGGAATATAATGAATCTGCTTGTGCTTTTGTACTTCAATCGTTATGCTATGGACCGACCTGTGTCCAGCATGCATGCTGGACACGGGTAATAGTGCTTCAATCATTATCTCCTTTTTTTTTCTTTTTTTTTTTTTAATTACAGACCACTTCGTTATAGGAGTATATGTTCATAATTTTATTACTATATGTTAATAATTGTACATTCATAACTCCATAACTGTACATTCATAACTCCATAATTGTACATTCATAATTTTCGAAGCTCTATGTTCACAATTTTAGAGCTCTATGTTCATAATTTTATCACTATATGTTCATAATTGTAAGTTCATAATGTAATAGCTCTTTGTTCATAATTCGATCAATAACTGTACATTCATAATTCCATAACTGTAGATTCATAATCTCATAACTGTAGATTCATAATCTCATAACTGTAGATTCATAACTCCATAACTGTACATTCATAACTCCATAACTGTACATTCATAATCTTCGAAGCTCTATATTCACAATTTTAAAGCTCCATGGTCATAATTTTATCACTATATGTTCATAATTGTAAGTTCATAATGTTAGAGCTCTGTGTTCATAATTTCATAATTGCATAACTGTACATTCATAACGGCATAATTGTACATTCATAACGGCATAACTGTACATTCATAATAAAAAATAAAAAAAAAAAAATAATAACGCCGTTAACGGCAAAACACGCGCGAATTTTTTCTTTTTTTAACTAAATGACGGGTTTTTTTTTTTAAACGACGTCGTTTTAGGCCCGTGTCCACAATTCATTGTGGACACAGGTCCAGGGCATAATTTGCCTTTGTACTTGCTGTGGGCTTATTGTTGTGGATATATTATTTTGGCTCAATACTCTGTTTAGTCTGTTACATGATATACCAATCCTTATACCATGGACCTTGGTCCTAAACGACGTATATAAGAAAAATTTTGTCACGAAAGAATGGCGATGGAATTTATTCCGTCGTCTATTGCCTTGTCGTATTTCGATAGACGACGAAATAGTTCCTTTGCAAAATTTGGCGACGGAATTCGCGACTGAAAAGTTCCGTCGCAATTTTCGCAACAGAAATGTTTCTGGCTCTATTTCCGACTCGAATATTCCGTCGCGATATTATCTTTTCCGTCACAAAAATAACGATGGAATTGTTTTCCGTTACATTTTTTCAACAAATATTCCGTCCTCTTGAATGTCATTCGACCCGTTACACTTCCATTTTACAAGAGGAAATTACAACACTTGTTTTCAAAAGCTTGTCCTTGGATAAGTATTATACCTGGATATTTCAATATTGAAATCAGATCTAAGTGCTCTGACAAATTGCATTCCATACACTCTGTTGATCATTTTGATATCAACATTAAGGTGCTTTGTCACTTCAAACTATTAAGAGTAGTGGACATGAAACTTGGATTCTGGAATTCTGAAAATAAGGTGCTATATATGGGAAATCTTGTTCATTTGAGATACTTAGCTTTGTCTCTAGACAGTACCCTTGGCCCTCTTGAAATAAATAAAGTTCTTTGAGAATTGGAATATGCAAAGTTTTATTGTCTGTGGATGTACTATTATATTGGATTCCTCTAAGGCCGCATCTGAAATTTGGAAAATGCCACTGTTAAGAAATTTTTATATCGAGAATTTTCCTTTTACATTAGAGGCTTCGGAGGTTGTTAATAGAAACATAGAGACTATATCTTGGTTGCGTTCGGAGTGTTGTAGAGAGGATCTTTTTACAAGAATTCCAAATTTAAAAAAAATTGGGGATTCGAGGTGAAATGCATTGTGAAAATGAAAATTCAGATAGTTTCTATAATTTTGTACACTTGGGGCAGCTTAGAAACTAAGCATCAAAAGGTGGGATCCCAATCTTCAGTATAGCAGCATCCTATGGGCTACTAGTTTTCTACCAAATCTTAAGAAGCTCAAATTCTTTGAGACTAGGCTGCCATGGAGTGATATGAGACTTATTGGTATGTTGCCGAATCTAAAAGTTCTAAAATTGATACATGCTTGTAAAGGCAAAAAGTGGAAGCCGTGTGAGGGAGGGTTCCGTAAATTGAAAAGGTTGGTAATTGAAGGTGTTGAGTTTGTCTCATATATAGATTAGGAATATGAGTTTGTCTCATACTAGGAGTAGAAGTGAAACGGGTACACCCTTTGTACAGGGATTAGATGCCTATAAATATATTGATTGTATCCCTAAGAGGTTGTGTCACCACTATCATCATCACTATGAATAAGAGTATTATTTCACTCCCGTGGATGTAGGCATATTGCCGAACCACGTAAATCTTGTGTTCTTTACTTTCAGTCATTATTATTTTTCTTGTTCTCGTTAATCTCAACAAATTGGTATCAGAGCACTGTTGAGATGGCTAGTTTAAGTACAAAATTCGAGGTATCAAAATTTGATGGTACAAGGAATTTTGGGTTATGGCAATCTAGGGTAAAGGATTTGTTGGCATATCAGGGCCTTCTGAAAACCTTGAGGACGGAAAAGCCAGGTAATCTGGAAGAGGCTGATTGGGAGGAGTTGAAGAAGCAGGAGGCTATGAACGTGGTTCAAGCCGATGACTCTTATTATAGTGAAGGTGATGTTCTAGCGGTAACTAGTAACAAGTTCGAACCTTGTTTGCACTTGTTTGGTGTTTCTAGAGTCTAGATGTGAAGGTGGTGAGGGGCGCTGTAGTGTTGGGCAACACGGATACCAGGAGGGGTCGCGGACCTAGTATGGGCCAGTATGCCACTGGCATGGGTCGGGCTTGGCATAAGTCACGGCTGGTATGGGCGGACGCTTCGGGATGAAGCAGTTCGTGAACATGCATTGGGAACGTTGATGCTGCGTGGTGCGTGTTGCTGACTAGTGGCAATTACTGGTTAGTGGAGGAATAGGAGTAGGCACACGGGTTTAGTGTGACTTTGCAGGGGCGCTGTTGTGTTGGGGCAGCGTGGATACCAAGAGGGGACATGGACCTGGTATGTGCCAGATGCAGGAGGTCAGCTGAACGGGCAGTTAGCATGAGTCGCGACTAGTATAACAAGTCGACGGCTGAGGACGAATAGCTTGGGACGAAGCAGTTCGTGTACATGCACTGGGTAACGTTTGATGCTGCGTATGCGTGTGGTTGGCTAGTTGGGATGAGCATGGTTGTTCCTACCCATGTGTATATGTGAGATAAATCTTTTTTTCTCCTAAAGGGCATATTTGTAAAGGTGGAGATGGTGAGATAAGTCTTTTCTCCTAAGGGACATATTTGCTAAGGTGGAGATTTGTTGAGTTATCTTTTCTCCTAAGGGACATATTCGCAAAGGTGGAGATAGTCTTTTCTCCTAAAGAGCATATTCGTTAAGGTGGAGATTTGTTGAGTTATCTTTTCTCCTAAAGAGCATATTCGCCAAGGTGGAGATTGTTGAGTTTGTCTCATATATGGATTAGGAATATGAGTTTGTCTCATACTAGGAGTAGGAGTGAAACGGGTAGACCCTTTGTACAAGGATTAGATGCCTATAAATATATTTGTTGTATCCCTAAGGGGTTGTGTCACCACTGTCATCATCACTATGAATAAGAGTATTGTTTCACTCCCGTGGATGTAGGCCGAACCACGTAAATCTTGTGTTCTTTACTTTCAACCATTATTATTTTTCTTGTTCTCGTTAATCTCAACAGAAGGCGTATGTTTCAAAGATTGGAATGCTGTGGGTGATCATTTCCCTTTGCTTGAGCAATTAGAGTTAAGTTGTTGCAGTTTGTTGCGAGAGATCCGATTGAGTTTGCCGATATCACCACAGTTGCATTGATTCAGTTAAATAGATGTTTGCATTCTGTTCTGGCTTCTGCAAAGCGTATTCAAGATGAGCAGCGGAGCTATGGAATAAATTGATGTTCTCCTTGTTTCACATTTCATGCTATTTAAATTCTAGGTCCCAATTCCTTTGCAATCAATAATTATCTGCACGCTTTCTCTCATTTTTCTGTATCTCATTTTTTATTACCTGTATAAATGCTTAATTTATTGTTTCAAATTAAAGGAAGGATGTGACGAGGGTAGCCGGGTAGGTACTTAAATAAGTGTGTTGTATGTATTTGCATATATATGCTTATTTTGTTTTGTTTCTTCTCAAAGAAAAATCACATACGCTTAGTTGTTTTTATTTTCTTACTATTTCACTATTGTTTATATGCTTTTAATCTTAATCTTTCATCAGACATTTACATTTCGTTTCTCCTTAACATCTAATTCTTAAATCTTAAACACATACAGACAACTGCAAAGATTGGGGGGCGACGAAAAGTTAAGAGCCACAAAGCTAAGCAGAGATGATGATGATGGATGTTGTGTACATGTTCTTGAGTGACGATGGATATGATGTTGGTATTCCTATTTTTTATTCCAAACTTTTATTCGTACACACAAAATCTTGATGTAAACACTTGTATTAGGACCTATATGAAAAAAAAAGTTGTTAATCAATATCTGTCACACTAGTGGAAATTATGGAATTTCCGACCACCTAAAAGTGATCTTAAATCAAGTTGAAAGCCTTGTTCCGACCACTTTTGGTATTCGGAAAAATCTTTGTTGCTATTTCCGACCACTTTTTGATATTAACTTGATTTAAGATCACTTTCAGGTGGTCGGAAATTTGAGAGTCAGGTAGTAGAACTTTAGGACCCATATGAGAGTCAGGTTTTTGTACTGTACTGTACTTATTGTGGGTTTATTGCTGTGGTTATTTTGGTTGATTACTCAG